GAGAAAACATTAAGATACTAATGCAATTGTGAATGAAGACAAAACAAGCGGAGATAGATAGTTGAGAATCTTGTGGCAGACACAACATAACGCCTCAATATCAATCAAAGAGATGATTTCTCAACACTAAATCTATTTCATGCTCCTCTAGCCCATTCAACTATTTCGCTACGCATGTTTGTTTTGTTTTGTCTGTTTTGTTGTTTGTTTGTTTTGCTTTTGTGTATTTCGTTATAAAATGTTATAAATGATTAGCGAAAAAATCAAAATAATAAATAAAACTACAATCAATTGAAAAAATTGACGCGTGTTATACTCGCCTGTTGTACAAATATTTCAAATTTTTATTGTTCACAGCGCAAAATAACATCACAAAATATTAAACGACAGCTGATGAAGTGGTTTTAATATTTTAATTCATTTTTATATATTTTTAAAGATTTAATTTGAATAGAAATAATTTGTTAATAGCAAAGGCGTGTTTGTGTGTTTCATAAAAATGTTGTATGCTATATATGTGTAGATGTTTGTACTGTGACAGGTACTTTGAAATAAAATCACGTGTCGAAGTGTGATAGATATATGCGGTAGATTGCATGCGGAAAAATTTTGAATATATAATAAAATGACTGTGCGATTGTTATAATCAAACGCATTTAGTTGTGAGAACGTGTGTATACGTGTTTGTGTGTGTGCGCGTGCGTGCGTGCGTGTGTGTGTGTCAGTAATTTGATATAAAGAGAGACGTGAATGTCAGAGAAATGAGCAGATTGAATGTACACATTCTTTAGTTCTCAAAATAAATCATCAGGTGCTGCCATATCAACACTGATTTACTTTAAAATAATTCGTTTGTACACAAAACTTGTTTATAAAATGAAATAAAAGCACATTTGAACAATAAAAATTGTGTACAAAGATACAAATGAAACACACACATACACACATGTACACATACACACATGTACACAGACGAACATCTAAGGAAACAGGCATACAGCTTCGCACCTTCTTATGAACACGCAAGAAAACACACACTGCACACACCAGAACATACCGCATAATGCATGCACGCAAGCGTACAGCCACAATGCACAAACACACGCGCGCGCGCGCACACACATGCACACACATCATTTCGCAGTCTATAGAAATGTGACATTTGAATTATTCTCCCAGACATCGTGGCGTCAAAAGTGAAATTTTAGGCGCCAATTGTAAGACGACGATTATGGGGCATGTCAAAGCAGAAGATGGATGAATAGATGGATGGATGGATGGATGGATAGGTGGATTGGTGGATGAATAGATAGTTGAATGAATAAATGAATAGACATATATGTGGATTTTTGATGAATGAATAAATGAACGGACATATAGATGAATAAATAGGATGAACGAATGGACAAATAAATGAATTGATGGAAAAATGGATGGACAGATGGATGGACGAATATATGGACGGTTGCGGGTTTAGAGACTCAGAAGATGTTTGGCGACCACCCACATCCTTCCCATTACAGTTGAAACATGTTCAAATAAATTGCTGGATTAACCGGCAAAGTGGATTGTAATGCATTGGCTCTTTCCTGCCGGTTGGACGGCTAGATTAAATACTGATGGATGACCCGACTAGTCCAGTGTAAACTGTTTGGCATCTGTGTGCGTGCATCTATGAGTAGGTTTGTTTCTAAATGTGTAGAAGGGTGTCTATCTACGATGCGTGTGTCTGCGGCGTGTGTCGTGTGCAGTGGCGGGTCTAGCGGGAGTCTGTTTTTTAATAAAAGTCAGAAAAAGAACCGTTTTATGTGTAAAATTGACCAAAAATTGAACGTGATAAGCCAAAAAAGGTCGTCACCCACACTACCACAAATCTTGGCCCGTGAAAATTTAAACATCAGATAATTTTTGGCCCCCGTCAGAGTTGTGTAGATGGGCTACTGGTCGTGTGTGGTGATCTTGCGTGTCTGTGTGCGTCTCTGCTTGTCGTGTATGTTTTTCTGAGTTCTTGAATGTTGTTGTTTATGGGTTTACACGCGCTGTCAGCGTTTTAAGATTTCATTTGAGATTAAATATTTAAAAAAAAACGAAGCAATCAGCGAAGTAACTTGGAATAATAAACTCCAAACCAAACAAAAAAAAGCAAGTATAAAAAAGATAGACGGATGGATGGAAAAGGAGTTGGACGGAAATAAATAAATATTGACAGTCTACAGTTCAATTACACACGATCCCCACAACAAATTAAAACAAATTCCCATTTACGGCAGGTTTAATTTTAATTTTGTAAAATGCTTACAGGAATTTCAAAACTGCACCGAGGCACTCCATACTTGCCTATAAACTCTGTAACCTCTGCAATACATCGATCCTAGTTCAACTACCATCCAATTTATTCTAGGCGTCGTCAGTTCAATATTTATATTCATGCAGCTTATTATTATTGTTAGCGTTATTATTATTATTAATATTTTTGCTGTTATTATTATTTAAAAACCTC